CAGTTGGCGACGCTCAACCAACGACAAGGACTCCACATTTAATATAAACTTTTTTAACTCCTGTGAGAAGTCGTCCGTGAGAAGCCAGTGCTGCTGCGCTTCATCGAGAGAGAGACTCAATAAGTAATTCCCGCCTTGTTTCACGTGGATGCGTCCTGTGTTGGAACTAATGCGGAACACAAGCGGTGTTGAGGCCGCAAGATTAAAGGAAGTGCTTGCGATTTTCACAACGGATAAATTTGTATCCGTGATATCAGCACCAAATGGCTCAATGTGACTTGCATAACTTGCAGTCAGAGAAGAAGGCACTCCATCGGTGGTGCGACGAACAGAATGAAATGACCGGCACAGCCGTGCAAAACGCTCACTATCAAAAAATGAATTTGCCCCCACAATGTAAAAGAAAACAACATGTTTCTCTTGTCCAGGACGATGCAGCCGATCCTCTGCTTGTTGCATCCACGTCGCGTCAGGCGGGAGCTCGGCAAATAAGGCACACGATGCAGCTGTCAGTTGTATTCCAACGGCACAGGCAGTAATGCCTATAATTGCAACTCGAGCATCGCCCTGATTAAACCGTGAGAGGGATGCCGCCCGTGAGTAAATGGGAGTGTTCCCATCGATGCGAATCCACGAAACTTTCAGTTTACCCACATGCACCATTAAACAATCCAGCAATTTGATATGATGTGCAAAAAGAACAACTTTGGGATATTTTTTTAGAAGAAAATCCACAAGCTCCATTATTTCGTCACGTTTACTCTCCCAACTAAGCGCATACTCCTTCTGAAAATACATTTCTTTCCGCTGACCATGAATCGGCTTCTCCGGAACACGAAAAAGAATCCGTTGCTTGGAAGGCAAATCAATAAGTGTTTCCGACTTGAGACGGCGGATCATGCATGTTGCGACAAGTAAAGAGTGTAATTCCACATTACGTACACATTCACAGACCTTAAAGTGGGGTGAGAATTCTGTTCGACAGTACCGCAGCGCAAATTCATACCTAGTTTCACCCAGCAAACCATCCGAGAGAGTATCAATTTGATTAAAAAGATCAAAGGGTGATGCCAATGAGGGCGTTCCACTAAGAAGCAAGCAATACTTTGATCGTTTTCCAAGATCGCACACCAAAGACGTGTAATGGGCATCACTGGATGCGTCAAGTGTTGTGTGAAGGGTGTGGCTTTCATCCACAACAACGCAACACCATTCACGGCTCTTCATTTGAGTCGCAAGTATGGAAGCCATATGATAACTTGTAATGACCACCTTGGGTGCATCATTTACGGAAAGAAATTGGCTCGAGGAGGTGATAACGTGAATGTCCTCCAGTTCAATCAGCTCCGCCAGCCACCTTTCAACCTCCTCTACCCACATATGACGCAACGCAGCTGGGCACACAATAAGAGTCGGAAATGCATGGAGTGCCGCAACGGTTCCAATCGCTTGAAGTGTCTTGCCTACTCCCATCTCATCAGCAAAAAGTGCACGGCCACAAAATGCCAGAGCCTTACAAATTCCATCAATTTGATGTTGATGTAATGCAGAAAGCAATCTCGCTGGTAACAACTCGCTTAAATGAAATGGATTGGGTACCCTTGAAGCCAAAGCCACTTCCCTACATCGACTAGAGGGATCATTAACGTAAAGACGATTTCCCTTAGTGCCTGACAACATTCTCAATTCGTGGACCAGCATGTCTAGAACGTCGATGGGAAAGCGAAAACTACCTTCCCTAGTTTTGGTCCATTGCTCCAAGCTCAGCGGCAACCCTTTGAGAATATGTAGAGCATCCTCTGGTGTTGTGTTCATGATCTGCAGATGAATACATTTATTTATCAGGTCTAACTCAACCTGGGCAACTTTCATATGATCGGTTGCAACACGTCCAGAGATGACGGGAAGAAATTCAACAATTCTCTCTCCCAAGGCAACTGCGGTCACAAAATCACGGAAAACCTTTTGAAAGTCCATGAACACACCAGTACAACTGCACGCAAAAACACAACCAAATCGGGACAACCTAAACCTTCGCCAAGTATTGCAGTTCATGCAGTATTTTTGCCCGTCTGGAAGGAATCGCTCCATTTTTCGTAACGCTCCTTCATGTGAACTACGATCCAAAACAAAAATGTGGAGTATTCGCCCGGGCCGCTGACCAGACACCAGACTTTTCCATAAAAATAAAATGGGACGGGAAGGAAGGGGTGGTGGAGAGACAGTGACTTCGCCGCGTCCTCGTTGTTCGCTCCAATTATATACACATGTATTCGGCTGGCCGCCACCGTGACGTGCTGCAGACTCTGCGGACTGGAGATATTATTAGTTACGAGGTGGCTGAGTTCAAGTTCCTCCAACCACAAGACCCCGCCGCAGGGTTGGAGTCAAAAAAGGGGGTTAGACGGCAAAAACAATAAAATTCATCCTGCCGTCATCGGTTCCTTGACTCCTCCCATCGCGGTCTTCCAAGGAACCCTAAGATGGGAAAGGACCGCACAGAAACATATTCGTCTTATCAGAACATATTAAATTAGGTCGCCCGCATTCTCGCGGACATTCTTTTCGCACGCCCCCAATAATAAAAACACACACACCAAACATATTCAAGAAAACACATTCAAAAAAAAATAAGATAAATAGGAAATAAAAAATAAAAAACATCGCGCCCCTCCCCTTTGCTTTGCCCTTCCTCTCGGATCCAAAGCAGGGCATGCATCATCGGTTCACCACTGGGAACCCGAATTGCATCGACCCGTAGAAGACACGAGGTCCTCCCTCCATTTCTGGCGTTATGTTAGTAGTGTATTCGGTTAATTGCGGTAATCAATCATCCCCAGCACCCATCCCGCAATTCCTCTTATGCTTTGCCGGTTTTCCGTTTCGCCTCCGCACACATCATCCCACCAGCTGTCTCCCTGCACATATTTCCCCAGTATTTCTCATGGCGGACGCTTTTTTTTTTTTTTTTTTGCTCTTGTCTTCGCTCGCCCGCAGTGCCCCCCAAACATCCCACTTCCCTCCCTAACAATGCTGCTGTACCCATGCAATTATCGTTGCCTTGCATTCGCCCTGATCCCAGAATTCACTCAAAATTTACCTCGTTTTGCCCCGTTATGTATGTTTATGTTTTATTTATTTATATATATGTATTTATTCATATATTATTTTGCTTTTTCACAGCAACGTTTGCCCTCCTCCACGCTGCCGCCGCATTTCGCCTCATACTCCGACAGTTTTTTCTTTGCCTCTTCCAGCTGCGCCTCCAGCGACCCGTAAGTTGGGCGTGTCACTTCGCCCTCCTCCAGGCCGTTCTCCACCAGCCAATTCTTGTCCGGGAACTTTGTCATGTAGTTGCGGATGCCATCCGGGAATACCACAACGCACCGCTGGTCAGGACGAAGATCTTTCGCTGCCTGCAGCACACCCCACATGGCGGCACCACTGCTCCCTCCGACGAGGAGCGCCTCTTCGCGGTGAACCTCCGACGCCAGCGCAAAGCTTTCCTTGTCAGCGGACTTCACCCACCGATCAACGTACTTCCGTTCGCAGACATCTGGCACAAAATCGTACCCGATGCCCTCAACGAGATACGGCTTCGGATCCAGCGGTACCGAGGGATCGGCCAAAATGCTCCCGTACGGATCGACGCCGACAATGACAATGTTGGGCAGCAATTCCTTCAATCGCCTTGCCACTCCGGCCATTGTGCCGCCCGTCCCAGTGGTGAACACCGCCATGTCAACCTTTCCACCGCACTGATCGTAAATCTCCTGAGCCGTGCCTTCGTAGTGCGCCTTCGGATTGCTTGGGTTCCGGTACTGGTCCAGCAACACGTAGCCCTTCTCCTTCTCCAGACGCCGAGCCATGCCAATGAGACTATCCGGGTGATCCCATGGCAATGCGGTCTCCGTTCGAATCACCTCTGCTCCCAGGGCCTGGAGGGTCACCTCCTTCTCATGTGACATCTTTTTGGGCATGGTGATGATCATGGGGTATTTCTTCACCGCAGCCACCAGACTGAGCCCGATGCCCGTGTTCCCACTTGTCGCCTCAATAATTGTTTGATTGGGGCGCAGTCGGCCACTCGCCTCTGCGTCCAGAACCATTTGCCGAGCAATGCGGTCCTTGACGCTGCCACCGGGGTTGAGGAATTCACACTTTGCAACCACATCGCAGCACACGCCGTGTTTCTTCGGCACGTGATTGAGTCGGATGCAGGGGGTGGAGCCGATGGCGTCGAGGACGGTGTCAAGAATGCATGTTCGCCTGTCGGGCACTTCCTTTTTGTTGTTTACTGCTGAGGGGTTCTGAGCCATGATTTGGACGTCTTCTCTACCATTCGGGATCACAAACAATAACAACAACAGGGTGAAGAGAAAGGACAAGTGGTGAAAGCAGCCATTTCGTGGCGGTGCTGGGGGTTGCCACTCCCCACTCCCCTCTCCTAGGAAGCGCGGGCGCGAGTCACGCAAATATTCGCCCGGGCCGCTGACCAGACACCAGACTTTTCCATAAAAATAAAATGGGACGGGAAGGAAGGGGTGGTGGAGAGACAGTGACTTCGCCGCGTCCTCGTTGTTCGCTCCAATTATATACACATGTATTCGGCTGGCCGCCACCGTGACGTGCTGCAGACTCTGCGGACTGGAGATATTATTAGTTACGAGGTGGCTGAGTTCAAGTTCCTCCAACCACAAGACCCCGCCGCAGGGTTGGAGTCAAAAAAGGGGGTTAGACGGCAAAAATATGAATGGGAAGGGGGAAAAAAAAAAACGTCCTAGCGTTTCCGAGTCCCTGATTACTTTTATTGCGTTCTTTCAAAGGATCATAATAAAGGGGAAAAAAATCGTACAGAAATATCTTCGACGCATCAGGATTTATTTCCTTTTGGGCACTCAAGCTTCTCGCGAAGATTATTTTCGCACGCTCCTAGTAGAAAAAAAAAAAAAAAACATGACGGGGCGGACTGAATTCAAGAATATTTTAAAGCCGTGTGGCTCATTTCCTGGGGGAATGATCTCCAGCCCCAGCCAATCCGCTGTGCGGAGGCGCAAGGAGGGAAATAAATGATGGTATATATTTTTTTAAAAAGTCTTAAGGTCCACAAAAAAAAAAAAAAAAAAAAAAGATTCAAAGTAAATTAAAAACAGTGGATACTGTTACACTAGCGCACAGCCTAAACGGAAAAAAGGACATTCACCACCTGCTGCATCCCCGGGTCATCCTCAAATGAAATTTGGGCTTGGGCGTCAGCGGTGACGTAGTCCGTTGGATTGCGCACTACAGATACAACGGTAAGACCCTTATCATCAGTTTTCCCTCGTCTTGCTTTTTCAGCGTCCTTTTCTAATTTCCGTAGAGCCATTTCTCGAACTCGAGGTTCAACGGTCTGCACATTTTGCAATTTTCCATCTCGTAAATACAAAACTCTGTGAGCGTATGGTTTCATGTAAACATCATGAGTCACCATAACCATTGTGAGACCATTATCGCGGTTAAGCTTCATCAGAATATCCATCACCAGAGTCGTGTTTCTGCTATCAAGATCTCCAGTTGGCTCGTCCAGCAGAAGTACCTCAGGATCATTTGCCAGTGCTCGTGCTATAGTCACACGTTGTTGTTCACCTCCTGACAACATGGAGGGAAAATGATGCAAACGATCACCAAGGCCAACGGAAATTAGAAGATCTCTTGCTCTTTCCCTTATTTCAGCAGCTGATCGCGTCCCTGCAATCGTCATCGAAAGAGCAACGTTTTCCAGCGCACTCATAGAGGGCAAAAGATTAAAAGATTGAAAAACAAACCCCATTCGAAGACATCGAAGACGAGCAAGAACGCTGTCTGGAGTTTGTTCGGTAATTCTCTGACCAAAAAGATATAGATTGCCTTTCGTGGGCAGATCGATGGTTCCAAGTACATTCAGTAATGTACTTTTTCCGCCTCCACTTGTGCCATAGAGAAGAACAAATTCACCACGTTTTACACCAACTGCAACTCCACGGAGAGCAGGAACACCTTCGGAACCAAGGAGATACGTTTTGTGGACATTTTCACATGAAATAACCAGTGCATCTTCTGTAGATCCCATTTTCTCAAACACCGGATGGGATTCAGAAACAAACACTCAAAAAAAGAAAGCAAAGAAAAAAATCACGCACACACAAAAAAGGATACTTAAACAGCAAAAAAAAAAAAGAGCCTATGCCTTACTTGTCCCTAATAAAAACCTTTAAAAAAAAAAAAAGGAAAGAAACCACCATTTATCTTATTACATTTTCACTTTATTGAATAAAAGAAATTTATGCATCCAGCAGCCAATAGAGAGCCCACGCATTGACTCCCCATTCCCCGTGGTCTTTATAGCCTAAGAAAAGAAAAGTGTTAAGACGGCTTTCGCATGCCTCCCGCAAGGGGCAAAAATGGGTTGGGTAGGCTTTTAAGACTTGCCATCGACCAAATTCTTCATGGTAAATATATTGAAATATATATATAACCAAAACTCCGTAAGGCCAGACCATTAATTTCGCAATCTCTCAATAATGATAATAATAAATTCCCGGAAAATCCAAACAATTTTTGTTAGCCACCTCTCCACCTCACCTACCACGCCGGCAGAATGAGTAAGAAGAATGGAGTAACAGAAATTTTTTCTACTTTTCATCATACCTACCATTTCCACTAATAATAGTAATAATACTGAGATTCTCCCCCCCCCCTCCCCAAAAAAAAAAAAAGAAACTTCTCTCGTTTTTATTTCTTTAACCCTATCCATGTCAAAAATAAACATCAGACAACTAAAAAAATTCTTAGCAAATCCCGATACTCAGTACCCCTGGTGAATACTGTCTGACAGGGGTGGCTTATGTTCCCCGCCATCCAACATCTCCTGAGGCGTTTTCCTACCCATAGCCTTTCTACTCGGCCGTGGAGGCTCCTTGATGTACATGGGTTTTGTTCGAACCTCTCGATTGTTTTCCGCGTAACGGGCAAACTGCTCACGAGCTTCACGTTGGTCTTCTAATTCCTCCCAAGTAAGTTCCCACGAATCCCTGTGTTCTATTGCAAGAAGAACCATATGCTTTGCTGCCTTTACTATATCCTCTTGTTCTTTTTCGGTCAAATCCCTGACCTTTTCAGCTGGATTTCCAGACCACATTTCTCCAGAAGGAAGGACAGCACCTGACTGAAGAACAGAAGCTGCACAAAGCATTGAACCTGACTCTATCTTTGCTCCTCTCATAACAATGGCGTTTGCACCAACAAATGAGCAGGACGCTATATCCGCTGACTCAACTATGGCCATGGGTTCAATAGTTGTCCACTTTCCCACAGTAGTGTTTCCTGTCACAACAGCCTTTTCCTGGACATTACAACTTTCACCAAGGTAGATCGTTTCATTCCTTTCAGCGCGAAGAATAGCATTATACCCAATGTAGTTTTTCCGCCCAATTCTAACATCACCCGAGACAAAAGCACTGGGTGCAATAAAAACATTATCCATTACCGTTGGACGGACGCCATAAACAGTAAGGAGTCTTGGTATGCGATATAGCGCTTCTTTTGTTTGAATTCCCATCATCCTGTCGCTCACCCCTATCACCTTTTTCGCCAAAATGGAAAGTCGGAAACCCAATCCGTCCAAGGCGGTAGCCAGCCTTGTCTTCCTCTTTATAGCCCAATCGGGTAAAACCGCTGGCATTTGTGCCTCAGATGTCAGGACTAAACACCGCTTCATCGTATTAGACGAAATCTAGTAGGAGAAAAGCAAATAGAAGCAGAATTTAGAAACTAGTAACAAGATATAAGCCTAAGAATTCAACACAAAGTAACACAAAATCATAATTGACCATAATAAAAACAAGAACAGCAAATTCAGGGGAAAAGCCCCACGCACAGAAAAAAAGAAAAGTAAAAAAAGGATGACCTTGTCCATTATCTAAATCAAAGCATCCAATAAGACATTTTTTTTTTTTTTTGAAGAAAACAAACCTCATTTTCCCCTATTTATTGATTCTCAAAAAAATTTCCCTACCCACACAACAAGGCCATCGATTAACCCAAGAACGACAAAAAGTCCACCTACAATACCACAAAGTTGTACAATAAAATGGGGAAAGGATGATCGCCTAAAGTAATTATTCACCTGCATTGGGTGAAAATCAAATCCCAAAGATACCGATGGGAAATGCCCAAACCCTATGGGGGTGAGGCGATGACTCCACTGCACACTATACTCATAGGTTGCATTAAAAGAAGCACTATTTTTACCACTGAGATACATGTTGGGTACAACCTTCAAAAAAGTATCTGATCTCAGTAAATCTTCGTTGGGCGTCAAATTCATGACCATTGAGTGGATGCTGAACACCACGACGAGAAAAGCGAGTAACATGTTCATCACCAATAGAAAGTTTATTTATAATGTGGCTTGAATCAAACCGCATGACGTCTCTAATTAAAAATCCCCCAGGCACTCGTTTCGGTGCAAACACAAGCCTTCCACCAAATTTCTTCACTATTAGGGTCCCCTTGTAATTACACCCTGGATTGATACGCGACAACTCGTAGATGCATTGTTCAACCTCATTTTTTTGTGGTCTTGGTAAACCCTGTTGGTCATACGCATTCAGGACGTCATTACATGTATTACAGCAACGATTTTTATTTTCCATCATGGATACTTGATGCTCATTAATAAAACACCTTCCACAGAACTGTGGTGAACTGGGATCATCTTTGGATTGTTCTCTAAAACTGCCATATTCCCCAACACCCTGACGAGTGCCAATAAATGCAAAATTTCCCTGTGCGTCTACAGGGGTTTTAAAAAGGTTACGAGTCACATTGAGATTAACTGTTCCCGTTACATCCAATACATCCAATGAAACTTCATGGCAAGGTACTCTAGGAAAAGTGATGTCCAGATTAAAATCAACTTCCGTTGATAGACTCGTGTCGACACTTAGCTCTGTTGTGTATGCATCTCGCCCGAAAATGTAAGAGCAAACTTCCCAAAAAACAAGCAATCCAATTACAACCACAGTAACCAGGCTCACCAAAGCACCACGATACGTCTGAGAACGAGAGTAATCTTCTTTTGGCTTGGGAAAGAGATCTACTGCCGCGACCTTCTTTAATAGAGGTCTCTCATTATTCTCCTTTATGACTAATAGAGACCTTTGTCGAAGATTGGACATCTTTCTGAATAAAAAATGACCTCTCCTCCTGCAATTTCAGCAAAGCAAAAAAATAAAAATGATTAATTAATTATTTAATAAGGGTGATATATAATAAAGATCAATTTATAGTTATATTTAGAAAATCTCACATTGAAAAAATAAAAATACCGATAGTTACAATATAAAAAATAAAATAAAATTTTCTATGCATACTATACAAGTGTCTTCACCAGTGATTCCCCGAAAAAAAAAAAATCAAAGATTATTACTTAATTCTGCAATAAGAGCGTCACGACGACGCAACTGATTTTCTGCATAAACATAATAATCATTCATTTCTTCCCGGTATTGTCCCAATTTCTTTTCATAGTGTTCTGAAAACTGTTTCTCAATATCATTAACAATAGATGTGAAAGCAGCCTCACTAAGAGCTCCTCCAGTGGTAAGTCTCAATCTACCAACCTCTTCGAGTAATAAGAGATTTTTTTGATGCTCTTTTGAGAGCATATCCCCTACATCAATAATGCGTTTCTCTGCTTCCTTCAGTTCCTCAAGAAGTTGTTGTTTTTCCACTTCCAAAACACGAATCCGATTTCCCGAACTAAAAACAGAAGAACGCAGACCAGAACACTCCTTTCTCAGTGACGACAATTCTGCTTGCAAACTGTTCTCTCTAATCTGCTCTTTATCTCTTTGACGGGCATCATTTGAAAAAATTTCCTCTCTTGATCTCAAGATCTCTTCAGTAGCTAGCAATTGTGACCTCAACAATTTCTCTTTTTCCTGAGAACTTTCCAAAAGTTTATTTGTCATAGCGAGCTCTTTTGCGAGGTTTTCCTTATCTTTTTGCAGCGCTACCACCTCCGCATTTTTAACTTCTAGTTCAGCGCTGCCGTGGCACCCCCGAAGCTGCTCTTTAGCTGCTAGCAATTGCGTCTTCAAATGTTTCTCGTTTAATTGGGTTGCCTCTAATAGCTTATTGGCCGCGGTTAATTCTTTCACAAGGTGCTCTTTATCCTTTTTTAGTGCAAGGGTCTCAGCTGTTTTGGTTTCCAGCGCGTCGCTAAGGCGTTTCATCACGGCATTCAGGTCTTCCAAGGAAGAAGAACTCACTGGCAAGACCAAATCCATTGGATCCTTGTACTGACGCTTGAGATCCTCAAACATATGTACCTCATTGTCATTGTAATTTTCAATGACCTCATCCACAAAAGGTACCATGGACTTGTTGTATTGCTGGTAAAACTCAATCAATTTCTCTCTCAGATTACGACTTTTTTCAGTTTTGGCAGTTGTTGGTCGAGGATAATGCACCCCTTTTGCCTCATTGACATCCATCAAATTTAAGGCCAAGGGGGATTCCGCCTTCGGCAACGCGAAATCTTTCAGATTTTGCGGACTCTCTGGCCGTTCCTTAAATTGATTTTGCAGGTGCAAATTCTTCTGATGTATGGATAACCCATCTATGGAAGAGTTTGATCCACACACTCTTGTCCTCAAAGATTCCCCATTGTCCTCCTCTAAAACAGGCTCGGGCCCATACTTGTCAGTTAACACTCTAAAAATGTCTTCTTCCCGGCCACGGTACGTCTGCCAAATAGCATCTACAGAAGAAAGACATGAAGGATTATGTACTTCATAAAACCTTACCAGGCGCCGCCTAAACTGATCATCTTCCATCCTTAGCAGGGGAAAATCTCTTAAACGCAGGAATTATTTAAAGCAAATGAAAAAACGAAGGGAAGAAATCGCAGACGACGAGGCAAGAACCACACACAAGAAACGGCAAGTAACCCAAGAAACGAAACCAAGAATCCCCGGCCGAGGTGCGCCGATCCCCCCCCCGTCGGGCGAAATGAAAACGGCAATGAACGGGCGTATCGGACTCCAGACCACGTTTCTCGCAAAACGCCGCCGCGAGGCTTCCGTGCTCCGGCGCCACTGGTCTCTGTTTCTGGCGCGGCCGGAGCGCTGGGGCTCTTCTCCTGTTGTGCTTCTGTGTTCCCCCTTCTCGCGGCTGTTAGCGGTCGTTCCCCGCCTCTTTTCCGCCCACTGTCTCCCGACATTTTTCTCAATCAAGTTTTTCTTAGCGTACGCGCAAGAAGCTTCCAGTCCAAAAGAAAATGGCAAGGGTAGGGGACGCATTTTCAGACGACCCTTCGGTCGAAAAGTACTACGGGCAACGCCATCGATTGTGGTCGCGATTTGACGACGGTGTGTGGATGACACAAAAAGGATGGTGCGAGGTCACACCCGAAGCTATTGCATGCTTTTCCTCCGAGCTTCATAAAGGTCTTGAAAAGAAATCTTGTGTTCTTGATCTTTTCTGTGGTTGTGGAGGAGATACGGTTCAACTAGCGCGAGTTTATGAAAAGGTGGTTGCTGTTGATATAGATCCGGATGCGATAGAGGCGGCTAAAAAGAATGTGGAGGTTTATGGCGTTGGGGATCGCGTTTCCTTCTACTGTTGTGACTTCCGCACATTGAAATTAGATAATATGGAGTTTGATGCGTTACACTGCTCTCCTCCGTGGGGAGGACCGTTATATGCCGCCGCACCCTCTTTTGACATGGAAAACTCCTTACGTGCTAGTATAGGCATGGATTTTTTGGAGCTTTTGGGGTTTATTACAAAATTTTCAAGAAATATTACCATATTTTTACCACGAAATGTGCTTTTGTATTCTACCATCCCTTCTGGGTTTACAGGAAACTTTGCCATT